TGATATCAATTAGCCCCAAGGTTCAATTTTTTTATACGATATGTCTCGTATTGGGTGTATTATATAGTATTCGTAGACCTTTTATACTCAAAATAAAAGGGTTTTAGGGTTTCGATCAGTTTCATGGGAATAGGCATGTGACCGAAACACTAGATATGCACCTTTCTAGTAGGGGTTGCCACAAGCCGAGTTTTTCATGAGATATTTGAGCTCGGCTTGATTTAAACTGAGCTTCGAGCTGAGCTCGAGTCTAGTGAGCCTAGTATAATAAATAAATTATTTTTATTATATACATACACATACACACACACACATATATATATAGATATATATGCACATATAAATATATAAATATATTTTTATTTTTTTTATGTATAATAGTAAATAATTTTTATAATTCTTATTTTTTGTATGTAAAATAAAAACATTTTTTATATGTATATTTTTTATGTTTATGTGTAATAATAAATAATTTTTATAATTCTTAATTTTTTGTATGTAAAATAAAAAATATTTTTATATGTATAATTTTTATTTTTTGGAAAAACTTGGCTTGCAATCGAGCTCGAACCAAGCCAAGCTCGAACTTATGAACTTTGAACCGAGCTGAGCTCGAGCTCAAGTCTCTAGCTTGAATCGAGCTTAAGCCTAACACAATTTCAGCGAGTCGAGCTCAAATAGCCAAGTATTCAGCTTAACTCGACTCAAATCCACCCCTACTTTGCATTAGGGTTTATTAATATCCATAGCCCCTAAGACTCGAAAGGTTCAAAACAGTGTTATCAAACTGGATCAGGTGGAACTTGGTGAATTTGATAAAGACTATGACCTATAAGGTTCAGTTTGGGAAGAGTATAAATACAAACATGTATGTATGTACAGTGCAAAACTTGTATTTGCATTGTATATATTTGTATTTATACTCATTCCAAACTGAGCCTAAGCTTTCTGGTTTTAGGTTAGGTCTGGTTCCTTTGTTTGGTAATACTAATAGGCTCTAGGTCTGGTTCAATCAACACTTTAATGGTAGAAGTGTATTAAATATTGTAGAGAATTGCACTTTTCAAATAAATTCTTCTAGAACCAGGCCTAACATCTTTTTCTTCTTCAATGAGCATTTTTGTTTGTTATTGTGTTTTCATGTTTTGGACATCCTATCTTACCAGATCCAATGCTTTTGGCATTCACAGTGTACTCCCATTTTTCATGTATTAAATTATTGTTAGGGTCAAAGAAAGTAGTGGTATATATTCACAGACCCCACACTAAAAAAAAGTAAAATTCTCTTTCATGACTAAACCATACACTCTGTTCTGCACTGATTTGGAAAATTATCACATGTTGTTTAAAGCAAGTAATTTCTTGTCAGTTTCTTAGGGTGCCTAAGCATGTAGAAACCAAGAAAAATAGCTTTATGTCCCTTTCATTTTGAAGGGGTTTCAAATTCCAATATAATCAAACACTAATGCAAGTGCAATACCAGGATAGCTGTGATCCCTTTATTGCTAATAAGATTTCTAAAACGTGAAATTAAACAAAATTGAATTTGTTTTGAGCTCATGCATGATGAAAGAAAAGTGGATGTGCAAGCTAGAGAGCAGTAGCTTTTTTACCAGTAGTTGCATTTGGAGCAAAATTTTTAGGCTGTATAAGATAGTCATAACTCATGACTGAAGTTAAGGAAATATTTTTAACAAAATTTGTAAAATTCCTTAACAACTTTGCTTCAATTTTCTGTTTTTTTCTTTTGTTTTTTTTTATCAAAACCAAATAAAGTTTAAGGCAAAAAGGGCAAGAAAGGTGAGCTTAGACCACAGAAAAATCCCACTCGGCATGCCCCACATGCACATCTCAGTGTGCAAGTGTGCAGGGATAATATCTCCCGTATTTGTCATTGGGAGATGTTCCCAGTACATGGTTGGGATGTGCTGTGGGGCGCCGATGTGAATTCAGTAGATTGAGTGTTCAATATGATGTATTCTCATGTATTGTACTTTGAGTTTTGTGCCCTTATATAGAAAAGGGGCCGTAGTGAGAGAGTAATGGTCTCCTTGATCGGCTCAGGTCTCTTATCTGAAATGACCCTTTTTACTTGGTTGTTGGTTCCTCTCATAAATGTGTTTTGCTCAGGATAGCCCAACAAGGTCCTTATTACCCATTAAGGCACCTCCCATAGTTTCATACTAAGACCTAGACTATACTTTGTGTATTTGCAACCGCACCTTTTAGGGATGGCAATTTTGTAGAGATTTTAGAGTATTCAATCCATCTAGACCCTAATAGAATCCGTTTATCAAGACCTATAGGTTTGGACTGGGTTTGGGTTTTGACCTAAGAGTACCTGGTATCCAAACCCAATGGGTATCCGCTCGCAATACCTGATAATAAACCCATCTGTCTACTGAGTAGAGTATAAGCCAGGTCTATCCAATCAAGTTGCAGATGCCCTTTCAAGTTCATGAACTGGGCCATCTTTCAGTGTCAAGGCCCGTTTATTCCTTGTTAGAGAAGCTAAGAACCAAGGTCACAACAGGAGCCAGGCCTGATCCGAATATGAAACCAAGGGTTATTCAACCCATCAATTGTGCTGGGGTACTCAGTGGCTGACTTGAATCTCGTCTTCAAGGGCTGACCGGTGATAGACTGATAGTGGCCACTTCCATCTCTCACAGTTGAAACAACTTTTCCATGATTCTTCCTTAGAAGAACACTATGGGGGTTTTGAGGAGATATTAGTGTGTGGTTAGTCATTACTTTTGGCCTAGGATGAAGAATCATGGAAAAGCGAGTGATCTAGTTTATCTCAAGCTACAGACTTGTAGGCAATTTGTAGCTCGTAGAACCTGGAAAAAGTTCTTCTCCTGATACTTTGGACCATTTTGCATCCTAGAGAAGACAAGGAGTGTTGTTTAGCACCTTGAACTGCCACCGATCTCCAAGTTGAGTCTAGTCTTTCATATTTCATTGCTAAAGAAGTGTCTCCGCCCAAGAACTTCATTAGTGCCTCTCTCCCTGAGTTCACTGATGAAGGCAAATTGCAACTGGAACCTAGGGATGCAACTCGGGTTGGCTCCGACTCCGAGATAGCAATTTAGACTACCTTGGGCTTGGACCATCAGTGTGGACCCATTCAAATTTTGCACTCCCAGTGAAACCTCGAAAAATCACAAATTTCAGATGGGTTAAACCTAGAAGAAAATTCATAAAAGATCAGAAGATGTAACTTGGGAGAATTAATCTTGTTTGGAATACTAGTTACAATACATAAAGTAATCTGATTTGGAACACTGAGACACCCCGAAGTGAATTTTGACAAAAACCAGGTCATTTACCACTTCTATAACACTAGTAGATTGGTTATCAATTCTTTAAGTATCATGCCATTTTGGTATCATAGTTCGACTCACATTATATATAATTGTATGTACATAAAATAAATTGCTAAAACTAGAATTCTATGCAACAAATGAAGAAAATGATTCTTCTAGTAAACAATAATACTGCAATTTGTCAAAATGATGTGTTTAAAGTTTTACCTTTCTAAGCCAATTTAGCTATCATTAATCAAGGTTTAAAGTATCGATACATATCGGCCTGTATCAGTCGATTTGTATCGTTTCGGGAGCTCCTCGATATGCCCCTACAGGGGGTGTATTGGGGTTCTGATCGGTTCAGGGAGTGAAGGAGCCTTAAACTGGCCCCCATGAACCGGTTTTGAAAAAAAATAAAAAAAAAGGGATCAAAAGGGTCATTAACCACGAGATCATCTCTCTCTCTCGTCTATTAGATTCGCCCTAGGCCTAACAGCTTTATGCTTAATGTTGATGGTGCGAGAAGGGGCAATCCGGGGGATTCCAGTGGAGGTGGTTGTCTGAGAGAGAGCAGGAACTCTGTCAGTCCGTCTTTGTTGGCTTTTGCCTCCTTTTGTGTTTGCTCTGACTCGAAGGTCATGATTGATTTGTTGAAAGGTACCATTGAAATTGATGGTTTACACGTTTAATTTGTCCATAATTTCGTAAAGGGAACAGGGTGGCTGATGGATTGGCTAATTGGGCTTGTGATAATGAGGCAATTGTGATTGCTAATCGTTCTTCTGATTTCCCTCCGGCTACTAGGCGCTTAGTCACTTGGAATCCTCTTAGGACTAAGCATTTCATTCATTCTTTTAAGGGTCCATTAGAAAACCTAATATAGATATAAGCTGGTGGCCATCTTATATAGCTTTTATAGAGGGGAAGACATTTAATTTGGTTTTAGTGGTGGCCGCACAAGGAGTATAGTTGAAGTTAAAAGAAAACTTTCTAAGCCATTTTTATTAAGGTGGTATTTGGCAAATCTTTTTTGCAGTTTTCTAGGCTTTGACAAGCTTGGAAGACAAAAAATTGGTCTTTTACTCTTTAGTAACCAAAAGCTAAAAGACCCATAAGATGCATGCGTGGAAAGACCCAAAAAGACTGAAAAAGCCAAATTTTAGGAAACTTCAAATGAAACTTCCTGATCTTTTTGCATGACAAACAACCTTTAAATGCCATTTTAAAAGCCCGGTAGACCGAGCTGCTTACCAATCAGTCTGTCTTTAAAGACAAGACCCCAAAAGCTTGGCACGTCTTTTTTCCATTTGGGGTGCCAAAAGATCTTCCTAAGAAGACTTGCCAAACAGAATTTAACCTATTCTGAAGATTATTTTAACCAAAAATAAAAAAAGTTAATTGATCTGTGAAATTAATACATTTTCTTAATTTAATCCATATTAGTCTCTCCCAAAAGTTCACACTTCACATAAACTAGTCATTAATTTTATTAATGTATATTCAGATTTACTTGAGTTTATCTAATGTATCCAATGCACATCCCAATAAGACTTGGGGGTGCAAGTTCAGTACTCGATTTGAAGAATTTACACTTTATCAGGCTCAGGATTTTGGGATGGGTGCATTCAAATTTAACAAAACCCCAAACCCAAGTCCATTAAAGTTGCACACCTAAATAAGTGGATTGGATTGTCTATCCAATTCTCTGGCATATCCCAAACTTTTAACCTTGAACTTATGGTGGTAAAAGCATCAAGGTCAATACATAAATTATCATACAACAGAAAAAAATATGCCATTACTAATTATAAGGCCATTAGAGGCCAATTGTTTTTCCTCCTTACAAACTCTATAGATAAAATTCCTAATACGGATCTTTATTTTGTTCTTTATCTTGAGTTTGACAGACAAGGGATTGGTTGAAGTGATGAACTGATGATACAACTTTTTGTTCAAACTTGTTACTACGCCACTATAAAACCAGTTTGTGCCTGCCTACTTTGCTCTGTGAGTGCCTGTGCTAAAGGAGTAGATTTTTTTCCTTGTTGATCTGCTGGAGGTAATAGTAGATCTAGCCTTTAAGAGATGGAGGCTTGTTGATGACAATAAACCATCAAAGCTTGAAAAGAGTGGTATGCACCTTTTCCACTGTAGAATTGCAAGAAGGTTTGTCTCTTCTCTCCACATAGAGGGTTTGTCCATCTACCACAGCTCTACCAATCATCTTCCCGAAGGTTAGGTCCTGAAAATCACAAGAAGAAGGGAAGAAGGTTACACTACAATTCAAAGACTGAGCAATACTACTTATAGATAGCAAGTTAAGAGGAAGCTTCGGTGAGATAAAGGGCCATGGGGAAAGGAAATTGCTCCTTGACTAGTAATGGAAGAGAAAGATCTATATGCAAATCTCACCTTATCCCTCCCGGATAGGAGGTTATAAGAATAAAACAAATTGAACTTACCGGTCATGTGGTTGGAAGCCCCCATGCCAATAATCCAGGGAGCCAGAGGCTAGGGTGGACACATGGAAAGCAAATGAACCATTACCTGATGTAAATGCAAATGAAGTGGAGTATTGGCTACACCATCCATCTGATGAAAGGTCCTACCATAAGTTTCAAGGTGATCACGGAATAGGTTGACAAGATCTTCTTTAGGGTCTGAGTTAGAATGATGCTCCTGGGTGTTCCTAGTAGTAGTAATAGGCAGAGAATCACTGGCTACTACATTGGCTGCATTGTACTTCTTTTGTCCTTGCACCTTGTTTGACTCCTAATTCTTAATTGTCCACTTTGACTTCTCAAATAAGATCTCAACAGGTTTCTTATTTATGTCTAGAATGTCGTACACCACAAGAATGCAAAACACACAAATGTGAAACTAATTTCTTATATGCTTTTGCATCGTCATCATTTTTCCACTCAATGTCTGGTAGAGATCTAACTCCTTTCAAACCGAAGTGAGGGCTGAATAGTAAGCAACAAGCTACGGCCACCCTGCTTACAAGTAGAGGATTCAACTTACAACTAGTAGATCTTTGCATAGTGTCTTTTCTTAGAATTGGTTCTGTAATCAGTCACAGCATATTCTAGGAGAGAAGAGAAAGAAGCGAGAGAGGAGGAGAAGAAGATGAGAATAAACATAAATGAGGGAGAAAAAATGAGTAGGTTAGTGGCAGATCCCACTACCCTAATATATTAATAAGAAATATAATTACAGAGTGGTCCTTGGAAGAAAGAAAAATAACAAGAAACCCCTACACCTGAAACACTCATAAAAACACCCCTTACAACGCTCCTCCTGAAGTTGGTTGTAGATATCGTGCATACCCAACTTGGTACATCAACCACTTGTTCCTTTAATCAACAAAAGGTATACAAATTTCACCCCTTTCCACTTTTTCACAAATGAAGTGCTTGTCAATCTCAATGTGTTTGGTCCACTTGTGGAGAACAGGATTTTGAGCAATACTGATGTTAAGTTGACTGTTTTTATGTATTGTTGGTTCGGTTGATAAGTGTACATGTTAGTTTGTATTGGGTTTTAAGTTGTTAGGTACTGGGCCTTTGTTATTGGGCCTAAGTCTGTTTAGTGTTTTAAGCAGTCTGGGTTACTCAGTTCGACATTCTCAGCACTTGTTTGCCTTCACCTCTCTTCTACTACTTCTGCTACAATCTTTCAGCAAACATGGTATCAGAGCTTTGAGAGATCTTCTGGTTACAGCCGACGCCAACTCTTCTCTCTTGCTTGCTTTCTCTCTTTTTTTTCTTCTTGGTTGCTGCAGAAAAAACCCTAGGGTTGCCGTAGAACAGAACAGGGTTCGAACCTAGGGTTTCTCTTGGTTGTAGGGCACAAGGGAGGTAAGACCCAGAAGTTGATGCCCTACTAGACTGCTTCTAGTAGTTAGTAGCCATTCGGCTGCCAAGAGAGGTCTGTATAGGACAGACCTAGGTTGAGGACTGATTTCAGCAGTCCTAGTATTGGTCGTAGGGGTGAGCACTCTCTACAGTTGCAGAAGTCGAAGCCCAAGTGAAGTCTGCATAGTGCAGTGATGGAGAGCTCTCAGTTTCAGGTTGGTTACTTGCTCACAGAATTCTCCTTGGTGCTGTAACTAGTCCACTTCAGGACTGTGACCACTTCGGCTGGTCTAAAACAGTGTTATCTACAAAAAGTCTGCATCCAAGATGTCTTCAATATCCGGAGAGGTCTCCTCTAGGGATAACAGACCTGGTGGGAGGTCTTCAAATCTGGAGAACCCGAATCTGCACAGCTTGCAGATTACAAGTGTGTTGCTGGATGAATACAACTTCAGGGAGTGGTCCGTTTCTGCAATGCTTTTTATTACTTCCCGTGAACTCACGGGTTATTTAGATGGGAAGAAGGAACCCGGAGTTGGCAGTGTGGAGTATGCAGTATGGCGCAAGGAGAATGCCACAGTTATGTCCTGGCTACTTGCTTTTATGACTCCTCGAGTTGCTAGGACTGTTCAACACTTTCCCACAGCAGCTAAGATTTGGGAAAAAGTGTCAAAAACCTATGGACAAAAGAAAAACAATGCTAGAATTTACAGGTTGAACCAAGACGTTGCTGCTTTAAGGCAAGGGGATATGACAGTTGCAACATATTTTGCAACTCTGGAAGGACTGTGGGAAGATCTTGATCACCACTTGATTCTGGATTGGGAAATTACCAGGGACAAGGAGAGACATGATAAGCAGATTGAAGAGAGCAGAGCCTTTAAGTTCTTGGCTGGCCTGAACCCAGTGTATGAGGGCATAAAGTTACAAATTCTTGGAAGAGATGAAATGCCCAAGTTACATCATGTTTATTATCTGGTAAGGAATGAAGAGGTCAGGAGAAAGGAGATGCAAGTTGACACTCAAAAACAACCAGTTGAACAATCTATAGAACATTCAGCCCTGATTTCTACAAATCAAAAGGGGAACAGATATCCAAACAAAAGGCATCTTAAGTGCACTCATTGTGGAGGTGAAAGACATGTAAAAGAAAAGTGTTGGGTCCTGTATCCTCACCTGAAGCCAGCTGCATTGAGAAGGGACAGAAGGGTCAAGCGGCAAGTGGGAACCTTGTCACCAGTAACAATGGTGATAGCTCACAGAGTATAACAACAGTGGCTTCTTCTTCCATGGGGCAGGTTGCTAATTCCTATGGAGCCGGTACCTTGGGCTTCACTACTGATGAGGTAGAGGTCCTTAGCCGGGCTTTAACCCATCTAAGGAGTAACTCTTTTGCTTCCTCCTCTCTTGCCAGATCAGGTATATTCTTTGCCTTTAGTGCAACTAGTCCTATTGACTCTACGTCTTGGGTTATTGATTCCGGTGCAACTGACCACATGACACACATGTCCTCCTTATTCTCTTCATATCACTTGTTGTTTGGTCAGGATAAGATGAGAGTTGCTGACGGGTCTTTCTCCACCATCTCTGGCAAAGGAGTGGTTGACCTAAGCAAGGACCTCTCTCTTAAATCAGTTTTGCATATTCCTAGTCTTACCTCAAACCTTTTGTCTGTTTCAAAACTTACCAAAAATTTGAACTGTAGCATAACTTTTTTTCCTACTCATTGTGTCTTTCAGGATAGATTGACGAGGAGAACGATTGGGAGCGATCATGAGTATGGAGGTCTCTACTATTTTGATGCAGACATCGGTTCAGCTTTACAAGCATCTGCTGCTAGTGGTCCGGAGAGTGTGGAGTCAATAGCTAGGTTGCATATGTGGCATGCTAGGCTAGGTCATTTACCTTTTTCTTCATTGCAAGTGTTGTTTCCCGAATTGTTTAAGGGCATTTCAAGTCAGAGTTTAGTCTGTGAAGTATGTCAACTGTCAAAACAGTGTAGAATTGTTTATCCGGTTTCTAGTAATGAAATTCAAGCTCCTTTTGATTTGGTTCATTCTGATGTTTGGGGCCCTTCACCTATTGTTTCTATTGATGGCTTTCGTTACTTTATCAGTTTTATTGACCACTACTCTCGATGCACATGGATCTACTTGTTAAAAGGACGAGATGAAGTGCCACGGATAACCATGGCATTTTGCAAAATGATTGAAACACAATTTGACAAGAAGATTAAGCAATTCCGATCAGATAATGCTGCTGAATATTTTGAAAAATCCTTGAACTTGTTCATGGAAGATGCTGGCATGCTACATCAATCATCTTGTGCTAATACCCCTCAATAGAATRGGGTTGCTGAGCGCAAGAATAGACATCTATTGGAGACAGCTCGAGCCTTACTATTCTAGCACAAGGTTCCCAAGCACTACTGGTCTCAAGCAGTACTTACCGCATCATATTTGATAAATCGAATGCCATCTAAGGTGTTGGGTATGAAAACCCCTTTCTCTGTTCTGTGTCCTACCCTTCTAGACTTTCCTCTTCCTCCTAGGGTCTTTGGTTGTGTATGTTTTATACATGCAAAGGATCCAAAGAAGACCAAACTGGATCCTAAGGCTACAAAAGGAATCTTTTTGGGGTACTCTCCTACACAAAAGGGTTACAAGTGTTATGATCCTGTCACCAAGAGAAAGTATGTCACCAGAGATGTGGTCTTTTTTGAGTCTCAACCCTACTTTCAGTCTTCCCAAAATCATCTTTAGGGGGAGACTAGTGGGATGGAAGAGGATTCTTATTCTCCCTTCTATTTTGTTCCTCTATCTGCCTTGGGCCTTCCATCCTCTCCTTCTACTCCTAGTTGTGGCATCCCTGGTGAACCTAGTGAGGCTCCAAATGTGCCTGCTACCTCTCCTGATACTACAGATGTTTTTAAGGGCTCTAGTAGGCAACAGAAAGATATAAGAATCACCTATGTTAAAATAATGTTAAAATAATTTAGTTGCTGATGTTAGGGCCTGTTTGGCTAATTAAAGTGTTTTTTATTTCGTTTTTTCTTTCTGTTATGTCTGTTATTGTACTCAGGGGCACAAGGGTCTTTTCCCTTGTTATTTTTGCCGCCCTATATATATTAAAATAAAGGCTGGCGCCGCCAGTACTGTTACATTGCAAAACCCTTCTTTCTTCTCTCCTCTCTTCTCTTCTCTTCTTCTCCTCTTCTCTTCTCTTCTCTTCCTCTTATTTCTGGCTGGCCATACTGTCAAGATGGTATCAGAGCGGGAATACTGATTAAAGAGAGCAGATTGAACAACCTTACTGAGAGAACAGATCGAATAGTCTAGCAGAACCTGGGTGGAACAGAAATCTGATTCGGGACTGAAAAAATAGC